AACTTGACACTCACCCCTGGATTGGCAGTCGATAAGCCATATGTGATCACGATTCTGATGGATCATATGGGGCAGGACGAAGAAGCGCCAGGAACCGATGCGATCAAATTTCCTTCCGGTATTCTTGACTACAGCTTGGCAGGTCATTTGGTCACGGACGTGACCTGGAAAATTACTGGTAATATCGGAGGTGAAGACTATGTTGATGTCGTCCGTGGACCGCGGAATGAGGGTGGCATGTTTGCAGAACGGCAAGGCTATCATCTACCAGCACCCCCGAACGATGACTGGCCTATAGCAAGTCCTTTCGAGAACGGACTTCCAAAATCTGGTGTGACTTTCTACTCCACCAGTTTTGAGCTGAAGGTCCCTGATGGCTACGATGTGCCGATGTCTTTCGTTTTCGCGAACCAAACCAGCAATGGACACTACCGGGTTCAGCTATTTGTCAATGGGTATCAATACGGGAAGTTTATCCCTTATCTCGGGCCAGAGTTTTCTTACCCTGTACCGGAGGGGATCCTGAACCACAATGGAACCAACTTTATTGGAATCACACTGTGGGCTCTGGATTCAGAAGGTGCGAAGTTGGGAGGTTTGAAATTAGTACCCAGTATGCCTGTGTGGAGTGGAATGCGAAGACCTGATCTAAGCCCGCAACCTCCTTGGCAAAAGAGATCTGGTGCCTACTAAGATGCCAAGAGAAGGCCTCAAAATATACAAACAACGAAAGTACCCTTTAATGGGTTGAGTAGTCCCATAACATAACCCTGTGCTGCAAAGCCCTCGTAGCGTGACATCATATTGAGCATCACAGCCGTGAACATGCTGTTAATATCGAAGATTAGGATGGCTTAAGAGAATATCCCTTCTATGATTGGCAAGAGGTCACCACTCAGGAAACACCCAACCATATCCCAGCAGATTTCTGACATCGGGACGATCGTCGACCTGCATGTCTGTCAAAACCATGAAATTATTCGGGGTTGGGTAGTAAAGATAATTTGAATCGAATTGTAGGTCCAATGGGTCATCGTTGTCGAGGGGTCCCGACTGCCAGTCTTCATTGTTGACATTCATTTGAGAGACCGCAGCTAATGCCTCATCAATTTCAGACATTTGCGGTTGTATTCCGACATTGGCTGGCACCGTGGCACTGGAAGGCTCGGCCTTGGAAACTTGCTGAACATATTCCTCTGCTATATGAGCAAATTCTGCGACAATGCTTCCTGGAAGCGAGCCTTTCGACTCATAGTCTATCATGCTCAGGTAGCCGGATCCAGCTTGTAGTAACACAAGATTGTTGCGAGTCTCGGGGTGAGTAGGGTTGTGAATGACAAAATCGAACAAGATAAACATGGCTGCTAGGGGCATAACTCCTAGTATCCTGCACATACAAGTAATTAGACCACACCGAATCATAATTGGTTCGACACGATAGCTGATAGTTGTTACTTACAATACTGGGGTGTACGCTTGGATATCCACAAAACGAGTTAACTCGATACATGCGCGCGCCGTGTCCATAAGGTTCTTTTTGCTAAATTCCGCGGACTCACTCGAAGTTTGGTCAATGTGAAGAGTCAGCCTTTCTAGCCCCACAATAACGAGATAGTATGTGAAATGTGTTTGCAAGATAGCCGTCTTGTAAGCACTGTTTGTAGCTTTAGAAAGCTGTTGTGTCTCTCCAGGTCTCATTTCTGAGGGAATAGACAGCCTCCACTGTTCAAGCATGTCCCGTATATCCGCAATGGCAGCCAGGTATGCATCAGGAGTATTTAACGATGCACTGACGGAAAACAAAGAGTCATAAGCCAAAGACATAATTCGACCAATTCGGATTGATGATAAAAACCAATTGTAGTTCCCAATAATGGATTCTGGTACTAATGGGATTGGACAACCAATATCGCAATCAGAGATTATCTGCGAGAAAGCCGCATATCAGTAAAACAACAGATATTAATTGTAAGTGAAAGTACTTACTGAACTGATTCGACTCTGGAATGCAACGCTCTTTTCCATGTAGTAGACCACCCAGAATGCCTTCTGGGATGTAATATTACGGGAGTTTGGATCAGATGACTTTTGAACACGCAATCCCTGAGCCAATCTTGCAGTCTCAGTCATAAGTGCGTCATCAATCTGAAGGCATGACGCATTCATTGCGAATATGGACTTGACGCAAACCAAATTAGCTTATAGTAGGATTGCGCAAGGAAGTAAAAACTCACCATTGCGATCAGGGCCTACATTGCAAACCAGTTAACGAAGGTATGCAGAATAAGGCATCGATTTGCTTGGTTCCTCACCTGTAGGTTTGTTATAGACCCTCTTGGGGCTATAATGTCGGCCAAATTACCCAGTGATATTTGAAATAGGTCCCAGGCTTTGCCCTTGCCCGGCTCAAACGAACCTTCTTCAAGATACTGGCAACCAAGTGCAAGGACCGCGTGATACAAAGCCGAGAATACTGGGTCTGAAGAAATAACATGAGAGAGTCTGGTGCTCGTTGACTTTCGTGTAAAATCAACACGATCAAGGAAGGGGTAGAGGGGGTGCACATTCTCCCAGTATTCTACATCCACATTAATCGAAGAGGCGGAGATCGTGATAAGTTCACTTACTGTCTATGTAAGCCTGTGCAACTACAGGAGATATCTGTGTGGAGGCCTCTGTATTCAGCAGCTTTTGAAAGTGTACGTCGCGCCGATGTGAATCGCTCTTCAGTGCGATTCTTTGTTGAAGAAGACTATCGAGCCGCTCGACTAGCTCCTTGAGGCGCGTTGTGCCAATCCTTCTGGTTATCGAAGCCACTCTCTTCTCGGAGAAGAAAGCAAGGGTGGAGCTTGAAACTAGTAGAGGATTAGCATATCCAGTCTGTGAGAAGTACAAGGGTATATGGGCCACGTACTTCTTTCGTCGTCAGTCTGTATTGGAGAGTCATGGTTAGAACAGGGCAGTTCTTTGCTATTAATGAATAGAAACATACCGATAGGATGCGGTATTCATCACTGAGTCGAACCTCCGAGGCAGAACTCTGTAGTAATCGATCTATGTAAAGGTCTGCTCGAGGATGAGCTAGAGTGAAGGCCCATGCCTCAGCGTCGGCCGATTCTTTCTTCGGCTCTATAGAGAAAGGTCAAAAAATCTCTCTATCCGCCTTGGTGTATCAGAAGAGATGCATACCCTCGCTAAGGTTGCGGCGAACTTTTCGTTTGTATATACTAAAGTGACAAGCTTCGTCCCGTTTCTGTGAGACATCTGGTAAGCGACATGTGCTCTCTGCCAAACTTGGCTGAGAGGTTCTCTTTTGCTCTTACAATGCAATGAATGCATCTTGGCTCGACTCCTGGTACATCTGCTGTCTCTTCCGGAACTGAATTGGAACAGTGTGAGCTTGGTCTGATAGTTCTTCCCGTGATGCGAGAGGCTGTAACGTACTGATACACCGAACCTTGCGAAACCTACACTGGTCGCAGGACTTGTTGACCCGCGACATAGTCTACTGAGTGAATGAGATACGTCAACTAGCTTTGATATAGGCCCAGGTCCAGGCTCGAGTTGCGCATCACGATCAGAGTGTGAAGGATCTTAGGCGACGTTGTTTGTGCAAAATGTGGCGCCGTTAGACTTGATGGCGGCACCTTCAAGCTTACGTGCTGGGTGTCGCTAGTGCCCAGGCCTCTGAGACAAATCCTTAGGCACCAGGAATTCCCCACATACGTGTCCTGCCATGCATCTGGAGAGTTCAATGGCGCATCCTTCGGCTTTCCTCACTTGCATCACTCTGGATTTCTTTGGTACAATATTCTAATTTTCGATTGAATCGGCCAAGTCTTCTATTTTACTCGAATCTGTGAGTTATGTAGTTCTGCTACTGTTCGCTTGATTGATTGAATCATCATCTAAGCAATCCTCCTTGAAGGATGCATAGGAGAATGCTTCTCAAGCATTTTATCAGGGACTACCTAACCAATTGACCACGCTCTGAGGTAGGCTCGTCGCGGAGGGACCCGACTCCAACCAATCAATTGATCACCACCATGTCACGTCAATATCATCTTCTTTGTCGATACCTTCTTTGTTTTCCTCACTCATCGTCTCTATAAAGACGTCCACCACTAGTCGTGCTGGTCCAGCATCTTCGCCAGAGCGCCGCCTTCGTGTAAACCAATCTCGGATGGACCTGTTAATGAGTCGCTTCATGGACTCGAAGCCATCTTCGTTATCGCGTAGAATGCGCTCAACTGCCTGCATCCCGGGTAGGTCGATGGTAAAGACAAGGCCTCGGACATCAGTCGAGTCATCGAAGGGAAGCTCTTCAATAAGGTCTGCCAGGCTCTTGTCCTGGAACCGGCCCCGGGGCTGCCAGGTCTGGACGTGTTTCTCCGACGTGTTCTGTGAGTGTATGACCCGATAGATGAAAGTAACCGAAGGCTTTGCCGGATTCAAATTACTCGCGGGTCTAAGGCCAGGCGTGACTGTTGTGCTGTGAGGCAGAGGCTGTTGTCTAGGCTGCTCGCTGCCTTGACGGACATCTATGGATGGACTGACAATGGAAGACGGCGTGGTTATTGGTTCGAAATGCGGTTGAGATTTTTCTGAAAATGATATATCACCTCCATTACTGGTATCGGGGGGAGGCGGTGCATCTTCAACAGCAGATTCTGAGGGCTGGAGGCCTTCGCGAGGCAGCGAAGGGGTTGCGAAAGGGTCGTCTCCCTCGTCGTCCACGTCTTCTACCGTGGCTCTCAAATCATGATTTGATAGGTCTGGCGATCCTCCGATGCTAGAGTCGCCATCAAGAACTGCATTTATCACCTCAAGACCAACATAGTCTTCTTTTTGCACTCGCTTCCTAGATCGTGGGGACCACGATGCCAATTGCTCAATCTCAGCGGCTTTCCTTTTGCGCGATGCTGCATCATCCTTTCCTGAGGATGAAGTTGTAGGTGGTCGCTTTGATATTCTGGTCGAATATGCTTGCGCGGCAGCACTTATGTGATGCGCACTACGTCTTGTGTTCCCGTCTCGATTGATCGCCTCAAATGGACGTATTTTCTACGAACAGATGTCAATCAGCAACAGTCACACAAGCCTTAAGGTACAGGTAGCGAGACTCACCGGAGATAATGACGATTCGCTTTCAGGCCCAGCATAAACATCATTTTTGGGATTTATGCCGTGTTGCATTGTCAAGGCGATGTTGTTGCTTCTAAGAAAGTTACGTTGTTTTGATGTCGATGTAGGCGCCTTGTTCGCTGGCTTTCTTTTCCTGAGGGTCAAATTAGAACAGCCGGCTATACTAGGGATCAAGAGACTCACGGTATTGAAGCGGCAGGAGCAGGCTTGGGTGAATTTGTAGGTTGGGGGCTGTCGACTTCAATTGCCGTTTCCACGCTGTGGCCCCGTTCATCGGGAGTCTGGCGTTCTGACTTGTCCTTGTGCTTGTATTTGTTATTGCGGTACTGCTGCAGGTTCAGGCGGAAGAAAAGCTGCTTGATGAGGCGCTTGATTCTAGTGCAAGACGGTCAGGCACGGTTAATTGAATGGGATGAAAGGAAAAGCAAAATGACTGCATCTTACCGAAGATGGTCTATGGAGTAGTTAAGTCTGTTTCGGTTGGGCGATGATTCCTCAGCGGGCCAGAATACACGCCCGTTTCCCTCTTCATCGAGGTAGGCCTGTGTCATCTCTGTCAGGCCTGCTTGGTGCTCGCGGGACTTCCAATCCCAAAGGTTGACGCCGGGAACACCTTGGCTTGTTCGATATTTCCTCCTAAAAACCCTGATGTCGTCGTAGAAAGCCATGCATCGTGGCAATTGTGGGTTGCCGTAATCAAGTTCATTGCGAAGTTCTGTTATCTTTGGAATGCTAGCCGCTGTCGTTTTGGACAACGGCGAAGAAGACATTGTTGCAATTGAAGAGGATGAATTCGAGTTACTTCAACCTAAGTAGGAAAAGTCTAGAAAATATTGGCCAAGTAACAAAGATGCAACGAAAGGAGAAGCCAAATCGCCCTCGGTTTAAACCGAACGCATGAAAGGAAAACCAGACCTTGAGAGAGAGAAAAGAAGCGGAAGTTTGACTACAGTGTAAAGGCATCCCGGGAAAGCAATAACCCCCGATGAGAGTGTACAAATTGTCCAGTATTACGAGTCTGCCTTGTTTATGCAAAATCCTTGCTCAAAAGCTCAGCTGCCTGACGGTCTTGCCGTAGAGCCATTTTCAGGAGTTGTTAACCCTTGATTGCGTGGGGGTCGTGCCAGGGTGCGCCACGGCGTGTATCCTGTTGGTTACAGATTTTGTTACTTGGAGGCCGTCTTCCAGCAAGTCTACTCTATCGTCAAGTCAAATTCGTCGCCTGCAATGCGCACCGAGCTCGACATTTGCCTAGGCATTATGGGAGTCATTGTGAAGCTTAAAGAGATTTCATTCAGACTCATTTTGAAAGTTTGAAATTCATTGGCATAGATGGTATGAAGTTGGCGAATCTTTACGGGGGATTGTTTGTCATGCCACTAGGTCGAGTGTCATCAACTCAAGCGCCAACACCATCCCACAAACTAACACAACTCATGCGTACCCGCGACATGGCTTGGGTCCTGAACAACGCAAGGGACTTTTCGTCTGTTGTTGACACCGTACTGCTCTTTATTCACACATTCTCTATGCTTCGTTAGACTAGGACAGGTACAAGAGACTGTCGTGCGGGCCACTCGGAATCTTCCCCGGCCACGAAGACGAGAATGCTAAGACCTGTTTGCTGTAACAGGACAATATTCACCAGATCTATTCCGCGAAAATAGCAGAGACCTTTTTCGGCCACATTGGCGACCTGATCGGTGAGCATCGCAAGGCACAATTTCAAGGCAACCAATCCTTCAGTGTCATATCTGAAGATCGGTCAAACGTGGCCTTCGCTTGCTGCCATCATCGCAACATTCAGCTCCTAGCAGACTCACAACCGTTAGAACCGAACGCCGAGGAGTTGTAAACATTCATCCCGCTCTGTTCAGAGAATTGCCAGGTCTTCCTGAAGTAGGTTCCTCAAAAGGAGTGGGGTATCTTCCTCCTGGTCTTCTACATAGCCCCTGATGGAGGAGGTTCTTTTACTTTCCATTCATTTACCTTATGTGAAAAGACTACTAGGCTGTGACGAATTTGTTCCTATAAAAGGCGGCCACGCCGAGAAATTTGGAGCTCATCCTTCTTTCTCTTCTCTCATTTTTACTCTCATTCCTATTTCCCCCTTATTCTTAAAGACCAGTTTCTAAGCTCTGATTGTCCGTGCAACTCGTACTCGTTCATATTACACCAGTGAATCCTATTATTCAAACATATCACTTGAAGCATAATGGATGTTTCGCTCAATCGTTCTTCGTCTGCAGGGCTTGATTCATCAAGTGGCAATCCATGGTACCGTAGCGTACTAGTCACTTGGATTAGCCAAGCGTTGATGAACCTAATACCTTGGACATATGGTCGGTCTATATTCTAAATGGCGATCTTGTCAAACGTTAACCCAGACTTCATAGTTATCTTGAGACAAGAGCGTCAAACAATACAAGCCGCGGCGATTCCTAGTGATGCCATGCGCCCAATCTTCAACCATGCCGTACTCAATCAACCAGTTCTAAATATTGATCACAGATCAACGAACGTGCCCCTAGGTGTAGGAGAGTCAGGCAGCGTCGGCCCAAGCGACCCAGAAACGGACCAGAATTACCTCACTATTCAAGACCGCGGGGCAGTCGAAGAATACGAAGGCAAAGGAACCCTTCGAGTCACCAAGACTGTGAGCTGTACGCCCCCTCGTCGGAGTAACCGTAGCCGTTCGGGCTCTAGGCATATTTGACTGCCGGACCAACTCAGGTCTTTCGCTCAATGGCACATCATGTCATCTGCCGTCGAATAAATCATATCACCAACGAGTTCCTATCCCCCTTTTTTCTTGTTTTTACTATACTTTTTTTCTTTTTGGGAGATTCATATTTCTAGCTCGCGTTGCATTTCTGCAGGTCTCTGTTATCAGTTTAGACTTCCCCCCAAGCCTTATACCATGTTCGCGCTTCTCGCCTTGTACGCTACACGGCTTGCTTCATCGAGTCGGATCATTGCACTTTCAAGCCACACTTATGTTCCTGTCACGACGTTCAGCACTCTCTTTTCGATGTAATTTATCGTCCATGCATTTTAGTCAGGATAAATTTTGAGTAGAACGTTCACTTTCGATGCTTCGATTGGAAATTTGAAGCCTTGGTGTTGTCGACCTCCTTCGCAGCAGTCCATAAGTCTTTGGGCTAGTCTGTGCTGTGAACTGATCGCGTGATTCAACGCCTAAAGAATACTTCTTAGGTTGCAGTAAGATTAAATGATTGCGGATGCCGTACATCCACCGACGTCGTTGTGAGTTGCAACGGTGAGGTTTGGTAAGAATGGGACTCTAGCCACTAGTAACATCAATATGATGATAGCATTTTCCCAGATCTCACCGAGAATGCAAAACAGTTATTCTTTTCAGCGGCTTCTGCTAATTGAGAGGATAAATGAGTAGAGCTGATGAAACGGCAGAACTGCAGCAGCACATGTGGGAAATGATAGTGAGTCGGTATTGTAATTGCACGGGACCAAACACCTGCAACAAGTCTCTGGTATGGCGAATGTTGGTCCTGAGGCCACTGTTTGGCCAGTATTCTATACCTGGGTACATAGCGACCGCATGAGTAGTCTGGAAAGAATGAGATCGGACTGAGGTTGTGCTTGAAAGGCAAAAAAAAAAAAAAAGGCTACGCACAGCAAAACGGCTTAAAGTCTCATGCATTTGCGATACAAGTTGGGAGAGCCTTAGCGGTGGTACAATTGGCTCCATTTAGTGAGGCACTGGCCAAAAAGGGTGCTGCCTGAAGGAGGAAGAAAAGTCTTCCTGGACAACTTTTTCAATGATATGTTTCAGGAAGCGCCGCCGCCAATGAACCGAACCAAACAGATGGTGGCCAAAGCGGGTTTGAAAGCCAGCCCCAGCTAAAACCGCCTCATGTGAACCATCGTCCAGTACAATCGCTGCTGCAGCATCGGCCTGCAGCATCGAACATCTATCCACAGCTCATCGGACAAAAATGGTATCAGGAATGAAGTCCGGTCATATTGCTTAAAAAATAACCCTGTTCAAGGCTGAACAGAGATGCGACGAGTTATCTCACATTTGACATCCCATCATAATGGTTTACGCTGCAGCATGATCCTTGGACAAAGGCTGTTGCAGTGCTCTAGCTTTAACAAGTTACTTGTCCGCTCTTCCGGGCACCAGGACCACAGGGAGAATCGAAATGTCAGCCACAGCTCGTTCCTAGCCACCATGGCACAGTACTGGCTTTTGGTTTGGAAGTTTCGCAGGCGTGAACGACCAATATTTCGCGACGCTTTGTCATCCGTCTGAGCGTATTTTCAGTACACAGAGAATAGTCTACAGGCGCGACTACGTGTTGTTCATACCTAATGGCAAGACTATCCGGATGATATGATGGCTGGATTGTCTCGGTTGTCCTTGGCACACACTCATATCTCGCTACAACGGAATTGAGCGACCTTGAATAACAGCTCGGAAAACAGGAAGAGAGTGAAGTCAACGTCGATCAGCAGATCATCTTCAGCGGTAGACACTTATTGTCCCATTGCTCCGATACCCACTGCCAAAATTGCATGGGACAGCGCATATTGTGCTACGCAAGATCTCGAACGCGATTGACTGCCTAGCGGCAACAAACCCGGAATCCCTTTGCCAACTTTCATGGCGTCCCACATTCCCCGTTCCATCTTGAGTATTCACAAAACATCAGCAGACTGGATTGCGCTGCTGTCTGTGATGAAGCCATTCAAGAGCTGAGCAGTGTATATTGTTAGCACAGCCACGCGATTCATTACCTGATCACACAGATGCTCGTACCTCGATATTCTTCAAGCAGACCCTGTTCGCTTCTTCCGTGGCCGTCGCTACGCAGTCCTCTAAAATCAGGCAATCCCAGCCCCAGGCAGATGCATCCGTCAACGTGCCTAGAACGCACCGATCTGTATTGACACCACAGAACACCAGCGATGTCTTTCCTGTCTTTCTCAGATGCTTAAATAGAGGTTGATCCGGGCTCCATAGCCCGCTGAAGCGATTTTTGTCACACTGAACGTCCCCATCGGATAGGAAAGGTTTCAGCTCGTCGATGATATCGGCGTTCCATGAACCCCGAAACAGAGACCTGCCTTTGTCGTCTCCTAGATCATCACCGTAGAACACCAGTCCACCAGAATCGGGCATAAGCGAACGAGGACCGCTACGGAAGTATGAAGCTGGAAGAGTCTGAAGGTCGGTGTCGGTCAAACCCCAATTAAGCCAAATAATCTGCGATTTTTGTCAACCTCAATTTGGCATCACGCCGAAGTGAAGAGCGTCTGGTGACAATATCACGATGCGACAGCCGATGCTTGGTGATGAGAAAGCCTACCTCAATGCCTACTTCTCTGCACTTGGTGATGGTCTTGACAATGGGCTGCACTGTCTCTAAGCCCAATGGATGGTCTCTGCAGCGTGGATGTAGAAAAGCGTTCTGCATGTCCACGATGACGAGAGCGGTCTTTCTAGGGTCAATGATAACCGATTCGGCCTCCTTACTGTGTGATATTGGCAGCGCAACTCGTTTCTCCGATCGCCGTGACAGGTCATACGCTCTGTTAATGGTGTCGTAATGCCAGTCGCCGGAAAGGCCTACTTTGATGATATCGTTGGCCATATTGTCTCGGTATCCGACTATTATCTAGAGATGTGCATCCTCTTGAGGTCATGGCAATGTCGTCTGTCCCCTTGTAGCGGTGGTGGAGGGGAAGATAACGGCTCCACTCAGCGGGCTTTCCCACTGTCGTACTGTCGTGGGTGATTATCACTGCCAGGTCCTCCCGCTTGCCCAGCATCTGTTTTCGCCCTCTAAACTGACTTGACAACTCGAACTGCCGGCGCAGCATTTGCCTCATCATGCAAACTGCCAAATTATAATAAGGTTAGTGGATAGAGGCAATTTCCAATTAGCTATTCTAATAAGATAGGCAATCGTTTTCTGGCGCATGGTGGACAAGCAAGAAGTTGTTATACATCCCTCAGTGCTTCCACAGCATGGCTTAGACATGAGCTCGGAGGCCAATTGAGGCCTTGCCTTCCAGGACTTTTACATCATTTCAGCTGTTATAGCTTTCCATGTCACTTGAGCACAACGGATGTACATGTTGAAGGACGGCATCTAAAAAGGATGTTTTCCTGCTATTCATCTGTTGCTAGTCGACGCATCGAGAGAGGTGTTTTGTACCATCTTCATGCCAATTGTTTTGAGGCCTACCAAACATCCGAATGACCTGTAACACCAACGATTTGGGAACTCCACAGGAAGGTTTGATCATCGACGGGATTAGACACGGTTAGACAAAATCGGATTACTTTGGCTGACAGCCAGATGTGATGTAGAGAAGGCGGAGGCTGGGTGGAGGCGAGCCTGATAAGTGCTCTTTTCCCCAGTCGAAATCCCTTAAATATCCAGGCATCTTGGCGCCGGATAGCGCCTCGTGAAAAGTTCGGATCCCCGCCGACAGCCTGTCCGGACAGCCGGCGAGAGCCGATTTCGGTACTGTAAAGCACGGATTGTCGACAAAATCAAACTAAAGTTCGGAGTCAAGCCCCATGAACAAACCCCGCCCTGATGTCGTGCTCCACGGATACTGTCTCGAGAAACCTGTGTTATCATCAACTGTTTTGATTGAGTGTCTAACAGGTCAAGGCCTCTATCATGGCTTCTAAAGAACACAGGAATGTTCTGCTCATGGTCGCGGATGACCTAGGCTTGATGCTCGGTTGCTATGGTTTGAAAGCGATCAAAACGCCACACGCAGATCAGCTCGCAGCGGACGGAACCAAGTTCATCAACGCTTTCGCTAGCACCGCATCCTGCAGTGGGAGTCGCTCGACCATTTACACTGGCCTTCACACGCACCAGAATGGCCAATATGGTCTGCAGCAAGGCTGGTGCCATTTTCAGACCCATGATCACATAGAGACCACTCCCCAGATTTTCAATTCATTGGGGTATCAGACGGGTATCATTGGGAAGGTCCACGTAGGTCCAGCCGCGGTCTACCCTTGGGAGTGGTTCGCACCAAGCCTCAGTCGCGATGTTCGAGAAAATGCTGCAGAAGCCGGTCGTTTCTTCGACAAGGCTGCGGAGACAGGACGGCCGTTTCATCTGACTGTTGGACTGCGAGATCCACATCGGGATGAGACAAGGGAGGGATTTGGGAACGACGAAGACGATGTGAAAGATATCCAGGTGCCTGACTACAAATCGGAGAATGTCGAAATACCGCCCTTCATTACCGATGTTCCTGAGCTACGGACCGAGCTTGTCGAGTACTACAAGTCAGTCAGTCGCATGGACCTCGGGATTGGCCTTATTCTCAAGGAGCTCAAGAAGCGAGGTCTGGACCAGAACACTCTAGTCATCTTTGTTAGTGACAATGGTGCTCCGTTCCTCAATTCGAAGACTACGTTATATGACGCCGGTGTCAGACTTCCACTGATAGTTCGTCAGCCTGGTGGGAAGACTGGTGTCGTCAACCCTAATATGATCTCATTTCTTGACATACTTCCAACGTGTATCGAATGGGCCGGGTACAAAGATAGTGATATCAAGACTGCCAACTCCGAGAAGTCTCCGGTGCGACCAGGCACCCCGTTCCTCCGTATACTCCAGGAGGGCGAGATCGCCTCATCAGAGAAGTGGACGCAGCATGTATTTGGTTCCCATACATTCCACGAGGTTCAGAATTACTGGCCTACAAGATTTATGAGAGACCACAAGTATAAATATCACCGTAACATCGCATGGAGACTCGACTTTCCCTTTGCATCAGACCTGTATTCCAGTCTTAGCTGGGAGGGTATTCGGAATTCTGAACCTGTTTCAAACGAACAATCCGACACACCAGAGATAATGATCGGTCGGCGTCGTTTACAAAGCTACATCTTTCGGGGACCCGAAGAGCTATTTGATCTCGAGAACGACCCAGAGGAGATCGATAATCTGGCGAGAAATCCCGAGTTCGAGACAGTTCTCAAGGAAATGAGATCGAAATTAGAAGACATGCAGTATCAAACAGATGATCCTTGGCTGTTCAGAGATGGGGTGAGCGTCATGACAACCCAAGCAGCACAGAAAGTCGGGATGAGACTTCCTGATCGTTTTGATTTTGACCCCACGAAACCTGGTAATGCCGCTGGTCCATATTGGGCACCGCAAAGCGCGAAGAAGTCTGGTAGAGGTTTGATTGAGTTTGGTTAGTTGTAATTGACGGACATATATTGTATAAAACGTAGATAAATCATGGAAAGTTGCTCTCATGCACGATCAAGTGCGAAACCTGGTCTAGCCAGCGGTATATGAGTTACGACAGGAAACGATACTGCAAACGGTACCTTGCTCGTAGAGTGCGATGTCGATAGGTAGTTCGTCTTAAGGGGGTGTCACCGTACCGTCGTCTAGCATGATCTCTTATAAAAAGTATGTTTACTACGCACCATATCAATGTAGAGCTGAAAAATGCTTTCCATTGTGCATTTTCAGGGTACTTGTTGATGGGGATCGCCTTTCGCAATGGCAAAATTTGTGTGACCAATTTTCTTTGGTAAGAATTGCTAGATCGTTGCTATTGAACTGTCCAAGACTTGGGCATTGTAGGCCTAAAAAGCTGGATTAGTTGTGCCAGCATCTTCTCATAGATTAGCAGACTGATGCACCTTTTGTGGCCGAGTCCCGAGCCGCTAAAACGATAAGGATGGATCCTTCACAATCATTTCCAGCCTGTTCTACGCCCCTCAAGCCCCGGTCGTAACTGGCTAATGCGCGTAGTAACGGACTGGAGCACCGCCCCCCTCTTCGGTACTGCCCTGATCCGGTTTCCTGGGCCTCAAACTATCTATCTAATGTGTAGAACACCTGTGCCAAGGAGATCGGGGTTGACGCCAGTAGGTTTAGCAGCTTTGCTTATCTTTTGATGTTCCGATTGTCCCTCATTTAGTGGGGATGACATCCGTCATAAAATGCCTGTGGCTGGCATCATTATTGTTGTTCTAGGTAGTTCGTGTGTGTCGATATTGCTTGGTTTTACGAGTGTGTGACTATTCTATAGCAATATGATTAACGCGTTCCCAATATCAGCCTTGAGCCTTCTTGTCTCATGTGTTGCAGCTTCTTCCATTGCTCTCGAAGGACTTGGAGGTCATGGTGCGTTCACCTTTACTTTTGATGCAGCTAGAAATGGCAGCGTCTCTTCGACTAAATACTATGTCCCCCCTATCGACAAATCATCCCCAGTAGTTGTCCATGAGACTATTACCTGGACTCGAGGCAATGCGCCAAGTCAGGACACACCAGTTGCATTTACTGTATTGTCTTCAAACGAGACTATTATCACTGCAGAGCTATTGTCAAATATCCTTTCAGACTATCTGGCAGATGATGTGTACAGTGAGGACTTTTTTGAGGGTACATAGCATCCCCTTTCCTGCGCTCACTGCATCGCTGATTTCTACCAGGCGTCTACTTATCCATTCCAAATGCCGTAAGCGTGGACCGGAGCGCAGTGGAATACCTGATCAGCAAAGAAGTCTCATATCTCGCAATACCTTCGGGGACTCATGCACCACTTCCTTGTAACAATTCGCCTCTCAATGTGATAACACTCTCTAACAGCTGCATGATTGCTCCTGGGCCCTATTTTGCGACCCTTGGCGGTTGTGCTGAAACCTCGTTCTCCTTGCGCAAGGTATTTGCATTGATTCCTGATCTCCAAGAAGCTTTCATGAATGGCTTCACGACAAACGATGATGGCTCTTACTCATATATCAACATCTGGGAGCCTGCCCAATATGGACTCATGGTTCCAGTGCCGTCAAGGCTATACTCCAGATTGTTGGACAAATCCCGATATCCTCTAGCAGGCTATCGCTTTGCAGTGAAGGACTTGATGCCGGTCCGGGGTATCGTTACGAGCGGTGGCTCAAGGGCAATGTTGAGGGTCTATAACACGCCTGCAGCGGTTACGGCTCCGGCAATCGAACAATTAGTCGATCTCGGGGCGACGCTTGTTGGGAAAACAAAGCTCACAGTCTTTGCTTTCGGAGCCTGGCCCTACCAGACAGATGACTTTGCGGTTTGTACTCTAATTCAATACCTTTTCGATTTTGCTAAGTCGGCATTAGTACTCTTGGAACATCCGAGCAGACGGTTACCTCGGTCTATCAGCTTCTAGTTACGGTTCCGCAGCCGCAATCGCCGCGTATGACTACTTAGATTTCACTATCGGGAGCGATACTGGGGGCAGCGTGCGAAACCCTGCTGATAGGGTTGGAGTATATGGGTGCGCCGCGTCCTATGGATCTTGCGATGTGCCTTGCTAACATCATATAGCATCCGGCCAACTTGGTCGGTCATCAATACCTCATTGGTTATACCAAGTGCAACTTCACTGGATACATTGGGATTCCTCACAAGATCCCCGGACTTAGTCGAGAAAGTTGCCAAGCTTTGGGATACTGATAGCAACCTACATCTTTTACCGGGTACATTCTCACTCCCAAAGAAGATCTTCTTTCCCGTCAGTTTCGTCTCTGGTTGTATATTTGATGTTTACTCATACTTGACTAGACTGAATTCTTCCCTGTCAATAACTCGGTAGCCCAGGACATGATCGACACATGGCTATCCACAGTGTCCACAGCTTTTAATATGACCATCGAACCACAGAATGTCACGGAAATATTCCTCGATAAGGTTACACAGAATGACACATTGGCGTCCTATACGTCCGACATATTTTCCATGTCAACCTATGATAGCTATAACTTGTTTGGCAAAAAGTTCTTGGATGATTACGAACACAAGTTTGGACAATACCCAGAACTTGATGTTGCAGCATTCAGCTCCTGGCAAACCGCCCCAGATTACACCGCCGAGACCAGGGCTGCGAACGAGCAACGTCGACAGGACTTCGAGGACTTCATCAACACTTATGTCATTCCTTATAGCGACGAAACTTGCACAGAAGGATTTTGGATATATCATATCAGCGACAAAGGCGGCGGCGTGCCAGAATATCGCGATGTTCTTACCTACGATTACTTCCCGCCTTTCAACCCGATGCGTGCTGCAAGCATTGCACCATTCGCGAAGTTGGTCGATATTACTGTTCCTATAGGGGCAATAACTTACGACAGTGTCATTTCAAAGGAAAGCATCCTGATATTCTTATATTTGTTAGCACCAATTCTGACAATTTCACAGAAGGAGGAACCGTTGGTCATTACAGTCAACTTGGTTGCTCATAAGGGTTGCGACTTTGTACTCCTGGATTTTCTGAAAGCATGCAGTGAGGCTGAATTATGTAAAGAAGTCAAGACTGGCCGGTATGCCTTTTAAATGACACAAAAACAATAATATACTCATCCAGTATGCACAAAAATGCTTTATAGATAATAAACGACATTCAATAGAGCTCTCTGAAATAATCAGAATGATTCCTAGAGAGAGATCTTCCTCCACAATTTGAACTTCATATCTTGACTTGAGGCTCTAAAATGAACTAAGTATACTAAGAGTTATTCTGAACCTTCCAAGCTACTTATATTCCAAGCACCCTCTTATTACGGTCAACAACTTCCTCCGCATTCTTGGCTCTCCATGGAGCTAGCGTCAGCTTTCCCAACACGGCGTATTTTACGGCGCCACCAGCTGCCGGAATATTGTTTGCTAGTCCTCTCTTGGTTGCGAAGGCCAAGGTCGCAAACTTGATGGCCTCTTTGTAAGCAGCAGGGATTCCGAACTCATCGCTGACAGAAAGCTGTAGTTGATGTTTCGCTAACTCTGCACCAAGATTTTTCATGAGGGTCGCGTTTCTTGTGCCACCACCAGATGCGATCACACGGACCACATGCGTGCGAGGGAGGATGAAGTCGACGAGGCTGCTAGTGATAGCATATGCAGTAAATTGTGTCAGAGTAGCGAGTAGGTCTTCTGTTGAAGATGAAGCGTACACTTTGAGGATATTTTCGGCGTACGTAGCACCAAAATCAAGCCGCCAAGCCGATCTCGGGGGGGTTCGCTTGAAGAAATCATGAGTCTTCAGTTCTTCGAATAAGGATGAAATGATTTGACCCTTGGCAGCTAGTTCACCGTCCTTGTCATAACCCTTTCCTGTCCGAGCCTTGACAACGTGGTCAATCATTACATTGCCCGGGCCAGTATCGAACGCCATCATCTTGCTCCGATCCTTATCAGCAAGCTGGAGGTTGGCAATACCACCAATATTCAATGTCACTGTTGGTCCATCGTTGCGGAATGACACGAAGTCCAGATACTGCATCAAAGGTGCTGCAGACCCCCCTAGAGCGTGGTCCAGAGGTCGAAATTGGGTGACAGTATCCACATCAGTCAGGGCAGCCACAACTCCTGATTCCGCAATGAAAAAGCCACAGGGAAACCCTCCCTTCAGCCACCGGTCGACTAGACTCTTGCTGCCACTCTGGATATAATTACGCTCTTTGACTCGGTCGGGTGGCTCTTGATATATAGTTTGGCCATCGTAGCCAATAACGTCTATATCTTGTGGCTTGAGTCCCGCCTTTTGAAGAAGGGCATTTGCGGCTTCTGCGTATAATGCACCAGCAGCATAGTTGAGCCTTGTCATTTCGAAGATAGTAAGGTCGTTATCGAAGGCGCGCAGGATGAGAGGCTGCAACTCTTCTGGCCAATCGACGGTCAAGCCGTCTACATAGCTGGGACGCGCAGGGTGGCCATCCTCTGCCAACTCAATCTTGCAGAGCACAGCATCGACACCATCGAAGGACGATCCACTGTTCAATCCGAGAATGTATGTCATCTTGCGAAATCAGATGGGTATCTCGATTCGAAACTGGGAAGGGAAGCTTGAGAAGAATAGCGTGTAAGCCCAGCCGGAAATCAAACCAAAATCTGAAGAAATTACACGTGCTTAAATGGGAACAGATGAAGTTTGGCGGAAGAAACGCCAGTGTGTTACGATTATCAACATGTGCTTTCCATAGTTTGTGGTGCTCCAGATACGCTTGTCTCCACATCTCAATAGCTTCTGATGTCTGATGGGGTCAAACTAGGTCAAATGACTCTAGGACGGAGGATCCCCCGAATCTATCGATTAGAACAGGGCGACTCTTAATTTGTCCTTTTGTTACATTCCATACGATCCAGGCTCCCGGTTTGCAATCACGAACTCAAACATCCCCTCCTTTTCGCACCTGGCTTTCCCCGCTCGGGGGATGCTCCGATGGCTCCACATTGGTGATGGGGATGTGTGGGGTGCCCCTGACTCGTTTGTTTGGAGAAGAACAGGGGACTCAAGGACAAATCGTGCTTTGATACCACGTAGAATTCAGCCAAGTCTCCCTACCGCGAATTCAAGTCTAGATGATTCTAAAGGATGTCTCTTGGGAAACATGACCGAAGCCATGACTTGTTGGCAAGTTAGATTCCGTCACAAGACAGGCAAATTTGGGTTCGTCGAAATCATGTAAGCGTAAAACTTTGAGAGATATTGGAGATTTGTATATCCATTCAATGTGTTAATGCATTTTATAATCATCAGTGAAGTCTAGATGACTCTAAAATCTATAGCATTGTAGCTAGGAGGCTCTTCAACCTCTCTGTATCTTCCCCGAACTTCCTCATCGCCTCCGCCGATTTCTCCACTGCGCATGCATCGCTATTGAAAGCCCATCTGAAGGCTGACTCATTGCCTTTAAATGATAAATTCTCAAGAGCTGTAGTTTTAGCTACATTACCTGTTAGCCTCCGAGCATATAATTCAAAATTGTAAACTTACCGCTGTCAATGGTCAAGATTGGCTGAATCGGCTCTGTTTCCTTCTCAACAGCTTCTAATATAGCGGGGGCAGCAGTGAGGAGGTCAATGCCAGCCAACGCTCTTACTTGTCCCACGTTTCTGAAGCTTGCCGCCATGACCTGAGTACGGAAACCGAACTTTCTCAGTTGATTTTGGATTGCTGATACAGTTGCCACCCCCAGATCTCCATCATATCCGTTTTTCTTTCCCCAATCAGCGATGCGACCTACATATGGCGCGACAGCATCAGCGCCAGCCTCCGCCGCAGCCACCGCTTGTGCCAGCCCAAAGACGACTGTGACAAGGCAACTAATGCCATGATCACGCTGTAGAATACGAGCAGCCTCAATTCCTTCCCATGTAGCACTGATCTTAATGCGGACGCGGTCTTTCGGGACGCCCTGCTGGCTGTAAAGGTCGATAATGCGCAGCGCTGAGGCAACAGTCGCGGTGGTGTCAAAAGACAGCGTAACGTCCACCTCAGTGCTAATACGACCAGTTAACTTGTATATCTGTGTACCGAACTGAACCGCGAGATAATCAACTGCAGCTGAGAGCCGCTCCGCATTCGATGTCGACGAGGGAAGTGATTTGGCATAAGAGATAGTGTTGGAGATTAGTTGTGCATATGCTGGACTCTGAGCAGCGACATAAAGGAGTGATGGGTTTGTTGTACCCTCGGATGGATGGAAATGAGTAATCTCTGAAATAATATTAGCAGGCTCCTGACACATGGATGAAAACGTACTTTCAAAGTCTGCTGTATCGGCGATCAATACTGTTCCAGCAGCTTGAAGCTGCTTCAGTGGTCCGGACGACATCTCGAATGACTGCCGTGAGTAAATATGGGCAAGGTCAGAAAAACAGATTTCTATTTCGTGATGCAGGAAGAATAGAATTGATGGCAGGAAGCTGCGGTATTTTTCAGAAAATGGTCAAATATGCAGCGTTCTTGATGATTTTAACGAGAGCATTGGAAGATTTGACACACAAGTCGTACTGCGCTGGCCGTAAACGTGGAAATCAACATTGGTTTAGACTCAATGTTCGTAGGAGGACCCTTAATCACTTGATCTAGATTGGGATCAAGCCTCCATAGAAAGAATGCTTGGTGTTTCTCAGGGTCACGCGTGCTTGGACATGACATATCATTAGTGTACAGCATTTTCATATGTCGGAGGGCATCCGTCGGAGCGTTCCCCGGCTACATGACCCACACTGGGATTAGTGTGCTCCAATTGATGGGACTTGCTGTGGCGTGCCCATTCCGTATTACCTGACTAGATTAGCAGTCTTGGGTTTGTGTTCGGAGGATCCCCCGATGTACCCCCTTTAGCCCAGTCGACTGACTAGTGGACACCAGGCGTACCACCTGAATTGTCCCTTTCCTCGACGACATGAACTAGTCAGGTTCTGATCCAACCCCAGTTTTACCTCCAACCCCGGAAATCTGCGCCGGCTCTCGATGTCTGGGGCTTGTTCATCAACTGCTCTGGGGTCTGGGGACTTCTGAAATCAGGCCATTCTACTCTCCTGGTGCTCGAGTTCCTCGTTAGTCTCAAGCCTTGTTCCCCAACATGGGACCCACCGGCTGCTGCTATAGATATCTTTGCTTATTACTGAAGACTCCTCCTCTCCAGCTTATATATAATAAGCCTTGTAAGCCGGATCTTTGGAATACTCCTGCCTCTTCACAGTTACCCCACAGTTCAAGAAAATCAGTCGTCGAGTTGGTCTTGCATTCTTCAAGATGGGTTTCTTCAATATCGACTTCCGCTCTCAGCGGTGGGCACTCTTTTACTGCGGTGTGTCAACATTTGGCGCTCTCTGCTATGGTTACGATCAAATCTATTACACAGGCCTTCTCGGAATGAGGCCTTTCATCAATGAGTATGGCACCACGACCGACTCTGACGGCGCAACGGCTCTAACGACCTCCTTTACGTCCCTGACGGCATCGATTATCTACGTCGGTGAACTTCTCGGAGCTCTCTTTGCCGCCCCGATCAACGATCACTTCGGCCGGAAGGCTGTCTTCTACTGCGCTTCCCTTTGTATCATTGCCGGAGCGGTGGTGCAGCTCGCATCACATGGCATCGAAGGCTTGATTATCCTTGGTCGTATCCTGATTGGATTGGGCATCGGGCAGTTCACGGTCACTTGTCTCCTATACATTGGCGAGGTGGCACCGTTGGCGATTCGTGGCCCTGCGTTGATGATGTTTCAATTCATGCAGTCATGCTCTCAGCTTGTTGGCTCCGGAATTACACAAGGCACAGAATCGATCCCAAACAAGAACTCGTATCTTATTCCCATGGGCCTGCTTATCCTTCTGCCGGGCCTTATGATGATCTGCCTTCCCTTCACTCCAGAGAGCCCTACCTGGTTTGTGATGAAGGGCAGACATTCCAATGCAAAGGCGTCTTTAAGAAAAATCAATCGCAGCACCCAAGACTATGATCCTACGTACGACCTGCGAGTCCTCGACGAGGCAGTGAAGCGCGAGCAAGAAGCTGCCGCTGAATCGTCCTGGATCTCTCTTATCAAAGACCCAATAGAGAGACGCAAGCTCATCTTTTCTTGCGGTGCTATGGTCGCCCAGCAGATTAATGGTATACAATTCTTTTACTCGTACGGAGTCATTTTCGCACAGTCAATCGGCATCAAGGAGGCTTTCACGATCTCTCTGATTACGAATGTTTTACAAGTCATCTCAGTTGCTGTCTCGGTACTCTTCGGCAACAAGATGTCACGTCGTATCAACCTTCTTGTCTGCAGTTTTGGAATCTTCGCTGCTCTTCTCGTTGTGGGCGGTCTTGGAACAAAGCGCATCTTCTCTTCTGGAATTGCTGCCGCTATTGTTGTCTTTTCATACATTGTCATTGTCTGCTTCAATTTCTCGCTTGGGCCCCTTGCATTTACTATTGCCTCCGAAATGGCAGTGGGTCGAAATCGGAATAAAATCATGTCCTGCTCGATCGTCTCGTTCTTCCTGACGGTTTGGGTAATCGCGTTCACGTCGCCTTACCTATACTATTCAGCCAACTTGGGCCCGATGCTCGGTTTTATTTATGCCGGCACGACATGCATCACGCTTTCTTACGTCTGGTTCTGTGTCGGCGAGACTACTGGTCGCTCCAATCTCGAACTGGAGCGCTTCTTCCTCGAGAAAATCCCGGTCCGACAATGGAAGAAGCACGTGTTTACTGATCTTCCAAGTGGTAAATTGGAGGAAAAGCCAACTGTGACAGACTTAACGACGGAAAAGGGTGCTTTTTCCAACGAGTTGGAAACAGCTTGATTTCACTTGGAACTTAACCCTTGTATAATAGCAACGAAGACGAAAGCAAAATACCTGGTGCCCGATTTCAATACACACGTCACATGCTCCTTTCATGTCATGAGGCTATTGTAATTGAAATAGATCTTTCATGTTGACGCTGCAAAATTCGTCGCAGGCGACGACACTTCGAAATTGTGTCGTTCGTTGCGCAGAATATCTAAACTCTTATTTACCTGAAGTGAATCCTGTGCACTGCTTTCCAGTAGTTTCTCTACCCTGTCAAGCAATCCATCCACATCCCCAATGTTCCGGAAGACCGGTACCAAGCTTGTGACTGCCCTCACCTGGAGCAAGACGAGGTAGGCAGCGAATAATGCCTGTATGCCGCACCAGTTCTTGTATAGCAAATCGACCGAAATGTCCGATTCGCAAGAAATGCAAAAGAAGTAGATGATTAGCGCAGCGCTTTCGATACAATCTCGACACGATTCAAGGACCCAAGGCTCCCGGTCGGAGTGAAGTGTTCTCACATCCGGAGGTCTCACGGTGTACTCCATGTCCTTGTGCAGAAAGAAATAGAGGACCGGACGGTGAAGAAGGAAAACGCAATAGAAGTATCGCAGTGCAAGCTCTCTCTAGAATACTCAAACGTGGTTAGGATATCTTTCGTCAAGGTTAATATAGAGGAATGTCTGGTCACTTACCACCCGTAACGACATGGATGGGACATGCAGGCTGAATATCGTGGCATCGCGGACGAACTGTTGCTCGAGCGGCAATATTTGATACCATTGACGTAGCTCAGCTGACAAACTGCAGACTAGGTCTGCAAGCTCATGAGGCTGAGCGTATGCTTTATTTGGGGTGTAGAGATGGTGGAGCACGCGGTTTACGAAGCTCCTGAGCTTGACATGATTCTCGATAAACGCCTTGGCATCTGTTGAGGCATCAGCAAGCAAAGCATCGTGGCTGATCGATGCCGCCGTCTGCATTTCGTCATCAGTATCGCGGTTGAGGATGGAAAGGCTCGACGACGACGGAAATCCGTCAATCTCGGTCAAAATGTCACTGTTACCAATTAGGCCAACAGTTTCCCAAGGATAATTGCGCTGAATTTTACCTTTCAAGCAAGTAATGCAATCGTGCGTAGCATTTAGACCGGCTGTTAAATCTTGTCATCAATCAAGCCAATTATAGGGCCTCGTCAGCTGGGAATACATACGAATCATCTGGATGTCGTAATGAAAAGTGTTTTATAGCGGGATCGATAGACTGCAAAATGCCTAGAGCATGAAAAGGCCGGGCCCAAAATTGTAGAAGGGTGTATGCCATCGTCAAAATTAGCGGTATCAATTCTTTGTTAGACCCCGAATGAAGGGTCCATTGTTTTTTAAGAGCGGTTGCACAGGATACGGCGGCTGTGTTTAGCAGGGTTGACGAGTTGAGATGAATAGATGTTCCATCGATGGTCCGCAGTGCTATGGAGAGGACCAAAAGTTGCGAGACTGACAATTTGTTTAGTTCCACTATGGCGACATGTTGAGAAACGCCTTCTGGGGCGCAATGTTCTGTTAGACTGCTTATGACATGGTGACGAGACAAGCCAGAGTAGCTGTGGACTAGATCTGTGAAAAAGATAGGCCATAGGTTGATGGAGTCGTAGAATTCCTCCAGAGCTCGTCCTACTTGCCAAAGCATCAAAGAAGGCAGATCTAGGGCAGCGTTTGCCTCTACCAGGCCAGTATCTGCCTGATCGTATTCTGCAAGATAGGTCTGTGAAATCAAGTTGGGGACTGTGAGGTTCAATCGTATTCGCGGCCAGCAATGGAGCATCTTATACGCCGATGCAGTGTGTAGATCTGGTGGGCTGCTCAAGCCTCGCGTGCGTTCCTCCAACCCCGCTGGGCTGGGCTCCGGTAATGAACGTGGAAGACTTCCACTTCTGTCTTCGAGCACCTGTAACCGCGACTCTGCCTCGGCTAAACGTGAGAGCACAGATGTGTCGCTGGGTCGCTCATGTCAGATGTCTACTCTGGCCTACTGCAATCAACCTCGCATGTCTAGGAAAAGGCAGCTTACGTCTCCAGGCTCGTGGGAGTAGGTCGGTAAGTGCAGTCTCTGCCGGCCTGGCGGCAATGACTGCATACAGGTCTGATACCGTCACATCTCGATTTCCTTTGCCGGCAGGTATCGCAGGCAAGGTTCGTCTTTGCTCGTAGAGCCGCCATTAGCAGTCTGCATTGGAGCTGCGCAGTTCTGGCACACCTGCATCGAGTCAGAATCAGCGTGTTTTGATCGACGGAGTGATGTTGAGAAAGGTCGAAGTAATTACGAGCACTGTCACGAGTGTCCTCTAGTGGCTTGGATAGCGGGCAAGCTGGCCTAAGTCAGGCTGAGCTAAGGGCATGAGTCGCCAGTTTAGTGCCGCCGACTCTGTAGCCCTAGCAGCAATTTCTACCTCATTCATGATAGTCTTCATCCAAGTGTTGAAAAATGCTTCAATGATGGCCTTGAAAGGCATCAAACTACTTGCATAAGCCATCTTGTGCGGGCGCTGTCACCGCAACATCAAAGAGACCACGAGTCGCATGGCATTGAGTCCAACTCCGCTCCCTGAAGAAGTGTGTTAAACACAGCCATATCCACGCCCTGGAGTTCCCACTCCTCGACGTTGACACCCAGGCCGGGAACGGTTAGGTCCATATCAAGACTGCCAGTATTGTCAGAAGTCGACTGACTATTGTTTGTCTCAGTCGCAGTATCAATACGAGCTTGACAGCCGCTGTCATAAGGTACAGTCTGCCAGTCTGAATTGGATAATTGCGTCCCAATTGTATATCCAGCGGGACCAGTGGGAAGCACGATGTGGGCGTCATTCTCTTGTCTATTCGGCAATAGCGAAGGTGACCTTGACACACCACTACGCTGAATTTCAACCGTACCAAAGTAGGGAATTGAAATATGCAGTACATTGCCACCATCTTGAACCTGGCCGTTGCACCCAGGCTCTGCCTGTGCTCTCTCCAGGACAGACTTGGCGTTGTAGGCACTACCATTGGCTGCATCGTCCTCAATGATCAACAAATGCTGAAGAATGCTGGCTATCTTGGAGGCAAGCACATCGGAGCCAGCCCCAGCCGTTAATTCTAGACACTCGAGGGCACGTTCCATCATACCGCGGTCACCGAGGCGCTGGTGGAAAAGGAAGCTGAACGCCCCGCCCCATTGAGAGCCATCCGCGCAGGACTGCTGCTGACGAGAAGCATTAATGTGTGCAAGACACAGCGCAGTGCTAGCAATGAAGGCTAGGAAGTCTACGCCGCGACAATATGCCGTGCTCGGGCTGCAGCTGCGAAACGACACGAAACGTGCTAGGAGCTCACGACTTGCATTCACCGCGGTGATTCTGCTGTAGTCAAATTTGCCTTCGAGTGAAGGGTATAGCATGTATGGTAGGTGTAGCTGTAGCAAAATAATGTAGTGCGCGAATTGATTCATCATGCGAATTGTCTCTCGGAGGACGTCCATGCCATGCCCGAGCTTGGGGCCTAGGTCAGGAATAAGCCACCACTGTGCCGGCATGATAGCTGCAGCGCTCTGAAGCAATTGGTCAATTTCATGCATCGCTCCAACATCGTGTAAGTCTGCCGGTCTACGCTGCAATATTCGCCCGCCTGCAACGGATTGGAGGCGCTCCATACGTTCCATTGGGGTGCAATTTTCCATCGCCTTAGGTGCAGCAAAGTCGTCCTCAAGTGAACCAGGCGGTAGACCCAACATTAGCGAAAGGTAACGGTCTGATTGAACGAGACGGTACCATAGATGCTCCAAGCTCAGTCGCGAGCGAGTTTCGAGCTCGAGAGTCCTTGCGGATGACCAGTCGGGGTTGCAATGCAAACGCATCATTTGTGCAGTAGTCATTGCCCTGCGGATGGCAAGCCAGGACCTGCGGAGGTTGCCCGCATTATTATGGTACATGCCCTCAATCATGATGCACTCAATCCCCTCAACACATCCAACTAACTCGTCGTTGCTCGTTACGTGTCTGATAGCAGTATCGGCCGCCCTTGACATGATTTCGTGATGACTCAGACTTAGTCCAGCTAGGGTGTTCGGAGGCTGCAACGGGACACCTTGTAATAACGTAGCCAAGATCAGAAGTCTTCGTGCAACGAGGACTGGATGCGAGCCTGAAGGCGGCAAGTGTAGGAGGTCTTTGAGTGATGGCGGCTCTTGCGACATGAAATCCGAATATGGCGTGCATATTGTTCCATGAAAGATAACTGACCTGTCAATTGGGGCTGCAAGAATGAGGTCGAGATCTTTTTGACATGGCCAAGCTTCGGAGAGAACGGAATATGATAGACTATTGTCTTTTATATCTCGCTCAATTCGGACCGGAGGACGGTTGATCCTGGGGTCAGAGAATTGTAGCAAATAATCTGAGCTCGAATCGTTTACTGGCCTGGCTGAAGGCTGGCACAGTGTTAGCATAGCAGTGAAAGGCGGACAAGGCAATGGATGACGAACAACTGTTCTTTGCTTAGTGCGAATTGGCTGGGAGGAGATACCAGGACCCGGTGCAGAATGATCATGATTAACTCTCGGCTGTTCGCTGTCCGCTGGGCTTTGTGAGGCCTCAATCTCTTCCGTCAAGTTTTGAACCACGGCTTCCATTCGATCGAGCCGTAACTTGACATGCTTTCCGCGCATGGACGGTATTGAATTGTCTGGAAAGTCTTGACTGACGCAAGGAAGACCTCGGGATTCGCATCCATCACAGACTGTCTCCGTTGGGGCTCGAAAGGAGCATCGTATCTTTCGGCGCTTGCATGACCAGCAACTTAGTGTTCCTTTGCGGAGCTTTCTGCGCTTAGGCTCAGCCTGGGCAATGATTTGCGACAGGTCTGGACTAGAACACCCGGTGCCAGCCATCAGACTGAGCGGTACAGCACATGAGGGTTCCCGGTGCCATGCATTGAATTACACCAACTAACTCGTCTGGAATTTGCAAGCTT